TCTCTCTCTCCCTCTCCCTCTCCCTCTCCCTCTCCCTCTCCCTCTCCCTCTCCCTCTCTCTAGTGGACTTCTTTGGTGAAATTAATAAAAAATATTTGCTTTTGAGTGTCCACCCATCTCCCCACCCCACTCAGCCCCATGGAAATAAGCTACATTTTAGAGTAGTTAGGAATATTCTCCAAAGCATTAGCATATGTTGATGATTCATGCTTTCCATTATAACCTAAGAATTTTCCTTCATAGTGAAGCTATGATTCTGTAGGATTTTTGTGTGCTGCCCTCATTTCTAACCTTTTTGTGAATGCGACCCATATATCAGCACCAATCCAGCAGTAGAATTCTCTATCTGATTAACACAGCGCTATGGATACGATGGACTGAAAAACAGCCAAGACCCAGTGCAGCAGCTCAGCCTCCTGGGTGCAGAGCAATAACAGCCTAATGAAGACATGTTTTAAGTGCAATATTACTTCCTCTCCCTGGTCACACTCTAAAAAACACAGCCAGAAATATTCTTGCCCTTTCAGTCTGCCTTGCTCGCTGGTGCTCTGTTTTTCTACTCAGATAACCAGTATACTATTCCCAGGGAGCAGGAACTGCAGATAAGTTCATGTGCAAATTGAGGGGAAACCACAGACGTTGGCTGTGTAGTTTTAAAATACGAAGAAGACTTTTAGGCAGTGTGAACTCAGGGTACTTTTTTTTTTTTTTTTTTTTTTTGCTGAGCAATGATCTCCACCCACTGAAAACCAGGCCCTGGGGGAACAATATAAGGCTTTCAGTGTACTCAGTCCATGCAATTAGATCCCCGAAGCAAAAGCTTTTAAAAGCAGGCTATAAAATGCCCATGTATTTTTATTAAACCGATTTGCTAACTGCATGGAGAAACTTTTCTAGTAATTTTTAATTTTATAAAGTCTTTTTTTATTTTCTCCCTGGGCCAAGGGGGGGAAAAAAAATGTCTGGGCCCTAAAAAGCTTAGGTATAACAATGTTATTTTTCTGTCTCCAAATGATTCAGTGCAATTTTATCCATTTAGTACTTCTGATTACGGTGGGATTAGATAATGCTTGTAGAGAGATTCAGAGAAAAACAATGTAGAATGAGGTAACAGTTTATTTTTACTTTCTTTATGTTAACCCCCCCAATACATTCCAATCAATAATAAAAATAATTGCAATAAAAATAATTCCATTTCCTCTGAAATGGAAATAGATTTTATTCCCACGCATAAGCAATTTCTTGTTGTTTCTCAAAGTCAGCCACTCAACCTTTTAAAGCTTCTTGGTAACTGGCTGTTGCAGGAGGAAGCAGACAATGAGGCTTGTGGCTTTATTGCAGCATTCTCTGCCAGCCAAGGGACACAATCAGGGCAGGCCACTGGGCTCTGCAATTTCTCAGGGTGGGGGCAGGGAAACTCCTTGAATGAGAACCATGCCCTCTTGCCCTCCCCCATGAGGAAGTAGTAGAGAGGAGATAGGTCAATTTTGACTGTGGGATCCAACATAAAATAAGTCGAGGTTATTCTGAATTATTTTATGCTTGCTATAAAGTTCACCCGCTGAAATTTCAGTTGGTAGTAACATCTTAAAGCAGGGTTTTCTGTGACAGTTTAGGTCATTCCTAATTTAGGACAAAAATATTTTCTTTTTAAAAAAAAAAATATTTTATTGATTTTTTACAGAGAGGAAGGGAGAGGGATAGAGAGTTAGAAATCTCGATGAGAGAGAAACATTGATCAGCTGCCTCCTGCACACCCCTTACTGGGGATGTGTCCGCAACCAAGGTATATATGCCCTTGACCCAGAATTGAACCTGGGACCTTTCAGTCCACAGGCTGACGCTCTATCCATTGAGCCAAACCGGTCAGCACTAGGGCAAAAATATTTTCATGGTGGAATATCTAACTGTATGTTAAAAGTTAGCTCTTTTTTAAATAGCCAAGTGTACCCATGCTGTTTTAACATTAGTAATGAATTTTTCAATGTCTTCCAGTTACCTTTGCAACGTTCAAGTTGACATAAAGGGGAATGAAGCAGAATGTTGGAGAAAAACTGTCTTCACTTACTATGTTGTGCCTCTTGGCCAGCTCTCCCCCTCGGCCCCACCCTCCCTCTTAACCCCATCCTCCTCTATCAGCAGTAGCTTCAGTTGTGTAAGACTTCTGCCAGGGTAGTATCCATGGGTTCCCCTCATTGCAATACCAGGGCTTAGATGCTTCTTTCTCAACGAGGGATACACAAAATGTCAATTGTTCAGGGTGCAATGCAGTTTCACTCTCACAATGTTCTTCCTACCATCTCATAGTCTGTGGATGCTAAATTCTAGATCACAATTGAATTTTGAATACTTTTAGTGTTCTTTATGTTTGGGGGTTATCTGGACATCATTTTGGGTAGGCCCAAGGGAGCTCTGCACAAAGTCTTTGGTTCTGAGGAAAGGCATTGAGCTACAAATAAAATCTAAAGGAAAGGTCACTCCAATTACGGGCATCTCTTGTGCTTCCAGTGATTGCTACCTTTGCAGATGTCGTTTTAATTGTATTTGCCAGTGACTTTTCTGTGCCCTGCCGTGTCTTACCCTTTCTGCTGTTCATTTGTTGTTGTTGTTTTTTTCTTTGAGACCTAAATCTTTGACCTATCCTTCTCAAGATTAAAATAAATCTATATTGCCGAAACCGGTTTGGCTCAGTGGATAGTCACCCTGCAGACTGAAGGGTCCCGGGTTCGATTCCGGTCAAGGGCATGTACCTTAGTTGCAGGCACATCCCCAGTAGGGGATGTACAAGAGGCAGCTGGTCGATGACTCTCTCTCATCAATGTTTCTAACTCTCTATCTCTCTCTCTCTCTCCCTGCCTCTCTGTAAAATATATATATATAATATGAAATAATATATATATAATAAAAATAAAATAAATCTATGTAATATATATTTGTAGAGCACCCTTCCACTATATTTGTAGAGCACCCTTCCACTCCTATTTTTATCACTTGCCAGCTTAGTGTTAAATAAGAAAAAGTCATTTATCTTTGAGTTGGGTACATTTGCCTATGGGTGCATTTCTGTGTGTATGAATTTGAAAACAGAGATTTCACTTGAACTAAGTAAACCCAGCAGCCAGAAAAGAGACATTAGTTTTATAATTTCTTTCTGTATGAAAACATATTTTAATTTATGAGAAGGATCTAAATAATTAAGAAAAAAATCTATACCACTGCTCTATATTTATTCAGAAATAGTGCCTGCTCATAGATACCTATACTATTCTAGTTCTTTAAGAGAAAAGGGTACTTTGAAATTTAGGCACAGATTTGGAGAAGGGATTGGGGAAAGAGAAAAATGAAGAAATGGGTGGGAAGAGATGATTTCTTTAGATTCATAATTTTTTAATTTTTAGTATTTATTTTAGTTTTGTTGCCACACATTTTTCTTAACAATCTGCAAAGAGGCCACTGTCTACTTCCTACCCCCTAAAATTATTATGGCAACTTTTGCCCTGTTTCCCAAGAGAAACTCAGAATCAGCAATAGCAGAAGAGCGAGATATGATTGTGAGACTGAGAACGTTAAGGAAACACTCAGATAAGCAAAGAGATATTTATACATACCAAGAGGTAGCCATTGTTTTTAAGGAAAATCACTCAAGAATACAGAGGCAAGTAAATTACGTGTCTTATTTTCCAGTTCATGTAATTATCCAGGACCTGCATATTAGTATACACGGACCCAGAATTTGTTTGCTGGCCCACCCACCGTTTGGAAAACAAGCAGCCCATTAAAAAAAAAAAAAAAGTCTTTTAGGCTTATTTTTTATCAGGAAGTGTGTCCCTTTTTCTGTGGCTTTAAATGTATACTCTTGGTAAAGAACACTTTGATAATCAAAGTAGAGAATGATTTACATTGCATAAGTGTATTATGAAACACTTCTGTTCCTTGCCCCTTGAACTTTGGAGGAATGAAAATGTCTAGCTTCTTTTCTCTCCTGGAACTTGACCTGTAATTTAAATCCTGTTCCTCAGCAAAGTACCTGGCAGCCTATCCTTTGACAGCTTCAGTTTCAAAGCAATTCAGAGAACTCACCGTCCTAAGAGGACAGAACAAGAATGTGTCCAAGTGGGATAGAGCATGGATGGTTGAAAAAGAAATTCTGAAAGTGGTCAGATGTTCTTGTCCCTCCTCCTCCTGTTCCTCTTGAAACAGAATGGGAACAAGATGAGTGGCTGCTAGAACCCTTGGCTGATATCCTGCTTTGCCACAGTACCAAGCAGAGCAGTGGGGTGTGTGGGGGCCCCCTCTCTCCATCCACAGTTGCCCCAACACTGGGAGCGTGGTTGAATCTTGGACCGAGGTTGACATCCATAATAACAACACACTCGTTCTTTGTAGTTGACTTACAGAATGAGGAGGGGCAGGCCTCAGAATAAGAAAAGCTGACTTCTAGTACGAATACAGTCCTTTTTTAAGCTCGAGGAGGGCTGTGGAAAGAAAAAGGGGGTGTGGGAATCTTTTCGTGTTTACAGAACTTGGATGCTTGACAAACAGGGCGCATCAAGCTAATTGTTCTTGAAGCAGGAAATCTGTAGTAGAGGAAGCAGGTGTTGTGCGATGATTACCACGTTTTGAAATTACCGTAGTGACTACTTTGCTCTTTTGAGTCTGACCCCGAAATAGTCAGTAAGCTTTTTGGAAGATGCTGTGCCTTTTATCTGTGTGTACCCTTAACGAAACCTCTCGATCATGGAGGAAGGAGAAAGTGCTTTAAGTAAATCTGAAACCAGATAGCCTACATGCAGCAGTGTTGACAGTATCCATTTTTCTTTCTTTGGTTTTTATTTTTATTTTCGACCTTCAGCATCCCATACTTTCAGAAAACTTTATGACTAAGGGTGAATTCTTATTTTTCAAATTGTTTTCAGACATTTCATGTTCATGTAAAGTTGGCTTATTGATTTCCTGATTTTTCTTTATTTTTTTGTTTTGTCCATTTTATTTTCAATCAGCTACATCAAATGGGTCTTTGGAGGGCCTGGATAACCAGGAGGGAGGGGTGTGCCAGACAAGAGCCATGAAGATCCTCATGAAAGTTGGACAAGGTAAAGACCATCTGCTGCTTCATGAAGCCACTGTAATCTGGTTGCGCCCCCCCACCCACCCACCCAGCTAGTGTGGCGCCAGTATTGCTCACACTCGCCTTCAGTCACTCTTCCATTTAGTTTTGAAAGCAAACTTTTCTCTGTACCTTGAGCCACTGAGATTTCCTCAAGTCACTGTCACAGATTTCTTTATTATTGGAGATAAAAGTGAAGGGCAGCCAGGTAGAATGTTCTATTGCCATATACGTGTATGGATATTTGTCTTCTCAAAAGCAAAACACCTCTATGGTTCGAAATTAAAATATCCAGAAAGAAAACTAAGTCTCTGCAGTTTTGCCCATTTCTGCATCTTGACTACAGAAGACGATTGTTCGTTTTAGCCTTTTCACGTATAGATAACCTATTGTGCAGAAAGAATTACTCTTCTAATTAGAAATGGGTATAGTAGTCAATCAACTCGCTCAGTTAAATTGAAATGTCATCTGCAATGCTCTGCCTGCCAAATGCAAGAATCCCTATAGTTTCCACAGATGGCCTCACAATCTAAACCTCCGAAATAACTAGTATAACCGTTTGTGTTTTAAAAGGAACATTATATTCTTGTATCTCGTAGTCCTTTGCATAAAGAATCTTATGTTCATTTGCTATTCATGCTTCTTGAGATATATATCCAGATCCTAAAACTAGATCTTTATCAGATGTCTGTGCGGTAAGTAATCATTTGTTTTTCATGTAGATGCCAGTTCTGCTGGGTCAACCAGGCATAATGATCCAACGAGACGCCCAGACCTAGAAGCTGGTACAAATGGAAGAAGCTCAACAACAAGTCCCTTTGTCAAACCAAATCCAGGTAAGCAGCATGACTGTGCGTGCAGTCTGTGTGCATCACACGCTTCGTATCCCAAGAGGTAGAATGGAGTCTAAGTACTTCTACACCAGTAGGACTAACTCGTAGTTACTGAAGTCAGTCATCTTTGCTCTCAGTTAGCTGTGGGTAATTGCTCAGTAAGAGCAACATAATTCATTCCTGCAAAAGTCCTCCAGTCGGAAGAGTGGAATTCATCAGATGTAAGTGCCAATTATTAGCGCTATTTTCTCAGAACGAAGTCATTTTCATTGGCCGACACTTTGTTGTGCTGGTTGCAACACCAGCTTAAAGCCGATGCTAATGTATATATAATTAATGTTCTAATCCCTCACCTAATTATATCTAATCCACAAAGAGCCTGACTGATCCTCTTCTACATTTTAGATGGTAACATCTTAAAATATTACACAATGCTGTGTTTTTCAGGTGGTTATCATAAAAGAAAAAAAAGAAAAACTTTTTTTTTTTTTTTTACATAGTTAGTGTAATATAAAATATTAAACAGATCCCTGGCAAAAGTTTACAATACCAGATAAAACTGGCTGTCGTTTAACTTCATTTTCTTAACAGTCTGAACAAACAGCTATGTATTTGTTACCATGCTAATGAGTTGTTGTTTTTTTATATGGAAGTGGTTGAGCAGACCTCAGCAGTTTTGTATTAGGGATCCGTACGCCTGGTTGGTAGTCGTGTGAATTTAGCATCTGTAGCAATATTCCCTCTCTTTCCAAGCGTCAAGGAGGGAAGTTGTTATTTCTAACTTCCAGTGACAAGATGTGTCAAATTCTTGTGACAAACTGATAAATGGGTAATATAATGATGCCAGGCAGTTTTTTAGTGCTTAACATTTGGGTTGGCAGTCTGTTTCAGCATGAGCGTTTCTGCTGCCTTCCAAATATATTTTAAGTGTAAATCAAATAATACAAACGAGTTAAGAGTTGAACATTTTCCCAGGCCCCATCACCGCCGTGGCTGCCTGCGCCCGCTCTGCCAGCAGGCGGGGCTTGTCTGGAGAAGGCAGGCTGCTGGCTTCCCAGGAACCCACGCACCTTTCCTAGAGGAAAGCAGACGGTGCAGCGTGGGCAGCAGACACGGACAAGCTAGCGCCTCGGCCACTTCCTTTGCTCCCCCTGCTGTGGCCGCAGGCTGGCTGATGTGGGTTCAGGCGTGAAGCGAGATCAAGGGCTGGCTGTCAGGGCCCATCCAGGCGGGCGGATGGATGATGATGTATGAAAAGGAGACGATGCAATTTGAGAGCAGCATGAAAATCCGACCTCGAGTCACATCTCCTTTCACCTCGATGGCTCACTTCTGCCTTTTCCGTTTAGCTATCAGCCGAGGTAATTGGTTTGTCAAAGTCTCGCCGCCCTTTCAAGCTTCTGCCCTGCCCAAGCCAGTTTGGCTCAGTGGAAAGAGTGTCGGCCTTGGGACTGAAAGGTCCCAGGTTCGATTCCGGTCAAGGGCATGTACGTTGGTTGCGGGCACATCCCTAGTAGAGGGTGTTCAGGAGGCAGCTGGTCGATGTTTCTCTCTCATCGATGTTTCTAGCTCTCTATCCCTCTCTTCCTCTCTATAAGAAATCAATAAAATATAGTTTTAAACAATCAATAAAATATTTTAAAAAATAATTAAAAAAAAATCAAACTTCGGCCCTGCTGCTTCATTTCCACATTTCCTAGGAGCAGCAGCGCGGTGGGCTTTCTGGGCGGCAGCGCTAACCATTGGTACACCCCTCTACCCCTTGCAGGTTCCAGCACCGACGGCAACAGCGCCGGGCATTCGGGGAACAACCTCCTCGGTTCCGAAGTGGCCTTATTCGCGGGGATCGCGTCAGGATGCATCATCTTCATCGTCATCATCATCACGCTGGTGGTGCTGCTGCTCAAGTACCGGCGGCGGCACCGCAAGCACTCGCCGCAGCACGCGGCCGCGCTGTCGCTCAGCACGCTGGCCACCCCGAAGCGCGGCGGCGGCGGCAACAACAACGGCTCGGAGCCCAGTGACATTATCATCCCGCTGCGGACTGCGGACAGCGTCTTCTGCCCGCACTACGAGAAGGTCAGCGGGGACTACGGGCACCCCGTGTACATCGTCCAGGAGATGCCGCCCCAGAGCCCCGCGAACATTTACTACAAGGTCTGAGCCGCGGCCGCGGCGGTGCCTTCGCTTTTCCCCCCCGGAGGAAACGGACTGTCCCGCTGCCGACCGCCCGACCGCCCGACCGCCCGCGGGGGCGCGGCCGACCCCTTGTGTCTCGCTCCAGTGGACTGAATGAAGCACAGCGAGGGGTGGCGGAGGGGGACCCTCCTTCTCCGAAGGCCCCCCCCCCCCTGTTGAGTTGGACAAGCTTACCTAGTCTGTAGCGTTTCGGGCCGCGGGGAGGCCAGATGTTCGCTCCCCGGCAGCAGCTGGAAGACTGTGCAGAAGGGACCGGCGCTCGCCTCGCCCCCTTGTCCTTCCTCCAAGCCATGTGCCGCGGTCACGCAAGCCTGCCCCGCAGCCAAGGGAAGACCGTGGCGGGTGGACACGAGAGAGAGAGAGAAAGAGAGCCTTGGAGCATCCTAAAGTGTGGATGCCCCGGGATGCCACACACACACACACACGCCTGGAAACGCCATCTGCTGCCTCGGGGGGGTGTGCCCCCCGACGTGCCGCACAGACCTCGGGCTCCGTGGGGCTTGCAGAGAGCAGAGCGCTAGCTCGCAGGCCTCACCCGGTTGCACATTCCCGTTATCCAGGGCTCTGCCGTACTTCCCATGGGATCGTCCCCTTCCGCCGCGTTCCGCATCACGAATGGAACATGAACGGGGTCTCTCCTACTCCATCCATTTGCAACAAACAGCTCCAGTCGAGTAGATCATAATAGGATGCATTTCTAGAAATTGTGTTTGCTGAGGAGGAGGAGCCTTCCAGCCAGACGCCAGGCTGCCAGCCAGGGAGGCTAGGAGTCGGTGGAAGAGGGTGGAAGGAGGAAAAGGGCTGCCTGCAAACACAGGTTAATGCTACTGCCTCTGACACGGAAAGTTGGGAAGAGGGTGTGGGGCGGGGCGACCCCATTAGGTAGCACAGCACTTTGGTTTCACTGAGATTTTAAGAGGCGAGTAGGAGACACAACAACACAGGCACACAGTGGATGAGGGGTGCATTGGAAGGCATTCACTCTTATCAAATGGCAACTTGCAGGAAAAGAAGAGTCTCTCTCTTCTGAGTGGAACAAAGGGTCATTGTTGGGAGAGGAACAGGCCTGGAGAGGGCGGGGAGAGGCGGGGCGAGGGGAGCGATCCCGCAGGACTGTTGTGGTACTGGCAATAAGACGTACAGCTCCGAGGCTGTAGGAAAAGTCCGTCTGCTTTGGATGATGTTTAAAGCAGATTCAGCTGCTATACTTATCACATTTTATTGAACACAGGGAAAGCATTTAGGAGAAGAGCAGAGAGCCAAATCTGACCTAGACGTGGAAAAGCCAAAGGTCAAACAGGCTGTAAGTCCATCATCATTAACATTATTAAAGGATTCTCATGTAAAAGGTAGTCAAATCCCCCCTGTCCCCCCGATGCCCCCTTCCCCACCCCTCCTCCCCGATCGAGCCTTACAACACTTTGGTTTATGGCGGTGCTGTCCGGGCTGCGGGGACCGCGGCGTAGGTACTGAGCAAGGCCGAGTGCAGGTGCTCTGGGTCAAGGTGAAGCACATATGGCAAACCTCTTAGAGTCCTTAAGACGGAAATAAATTATGATATCGAGGAGGGGGGGAAGGAGGATAGGATGTATTTATAATAGGTGTATAGAACACAAGGGATATAAAGTGAAAGATTTTTTACTAATATATATTTTAAGATTGCACACCATGTACACCAGAAGATGTGAAATTCACTTGTGGCAATTAAGTGGTCCCGATGCTCAGTGCTTTACAAAAGAAAAAGAAGAAAAAAAAAATTGGACAGCTACTTCTGGGAAAAACAACATCACTCCAAAAATAACAATAATGGGAGCAAATACAAAAATAACCAAGTCCTCTGAAGGCGTCTCACGTAACTGTAGACTAGGAAGTGCAAGCCCCGAATACCAGGAAATCGATGTTACTGCATCATATATTTAACAATGACAAGATGTTCCGGCATTTATTTTCTGTGTTGTGTTTTCCCTTGCCTTATGGCTGAAGTGTTCACTAGAATCCACCAGGTCACATCCAGCGGGGAGGTTTCAGCTGAAAAGTTTGGCTTTAGCTCCCTCCTCCCTCCTTCTACCCCTCCCCACCCCTCCTCTTTGGGAAACAAAAAGGAGTAAACAGGAAACCTATTTTATGTGCTATGCAAAATAGACATCTTTAACATAGTCCTGTTTCTATGGTAACACTTTGCTTTCTGAATTGGAGGGGGGAAAAAGTAGCAACAGCATTTTAAGGTTCTTGAACCTCCAGTGAATTACCTGCAAAAAAAATGAGTTGCAACAGAAATTATTCTTCTCTTATTTCCTGAACCTGAAAATGATGTTGGTCCAAAGTGCGTGTGTGTTATGTATGAGTGGGTGTGTGGTATACATGTGTACTATATGTATAATATATATCTGCAATATATATTATATATATCTATATCATATTTCTGTGGAAGGTTGCCATGGTGACCAGTCACAGTACATATGTAATTCTTTCCATCACCCCAACCTTCTCCTTTATGTGCATTCATACAAGATTTTCTTGTAAGCCATCAAAAATTACCTTTAGTATTGGGGAGAGGGACAAGAAGGGGGAACATGGGAAATAGTCTGATTGTAATGGAATCAAATGTGTGTATCATCAGTTGGCTACATTTTGGTTATATGCTAAACTGTGAAAAACAAGATGAATTGATGAAGAGTTACCTACGACCAATTGAAAAGTGTTCTGTGCGTCTGTTTTGTGTCTGGTGCAGAATATGACAATCTACCAACTGTCCCTTTGTTTGAAGTTGGTTCAGCTTTGGAAAGTTACTGTAAATGCCTTGCTTGTATTATCATCCGTAGTCACCCGACTTTGGAATTTGCACCATAATGTTTAAGTGAAGATGCTGTATATAGGTCCAGATTTTACTGTATATGGATTTGGGGTGTATCAGTAGCCTTATTCACCTTTTTAATAAAAAAAATACACATGCAAACAAGACAGAAATGGCTTTTCTTACCCAGATTGTGTACATAGAGCATTGTTGGTTTTTTATAAAGTCTAAGCAAGATGTTTTGTATAAAATCTGAATTTTGCAATGTATTTAGCTACAGCTTGTTAAACGGCAGTGTCATTCCCCTTTGCACTGTAATGAGGAGAAAAAAAAATGGTATAAAAGGTTGCCAAATTGCTGCATATTTGTGCCGTAATTATGTACCATGCATATTTATTTAAAATTTCGTTGTCCAATTTGTAAGTAACACAGTATTATGCTTGAGTTATAAATATTTTTTTCTTCCTTTGTTTTATTTTCATAGCCTGTCCTAGGTTTTCAGTCCGCTTTAGTTCCACATCGCAGTTAGCCCCCAGACAATGAGATCCGTGAGTCACGTTCCACGTCTGTTTCAAACCGAATTTGTTCTTAAAAAAATAAAATATTTTTTTCCTATGGAAAAAGCTCTTTCAACGTAGTATTTTCCTTTTCTTCTTTTCATTTTTCCTTTCTTTTTGCTTGCTTGCTTGTTTGTTTGTTTGTTATTTTAATTTACTACCTTCCCTTTCTCTATGATGGCAGTTACCCAGGGCTTTCTGCCTGTGGCATTTCTGTTTGCCCATTTTTAAAGCAGGCCATGCACACAGTGGGAGTGCCATGAGCCATGAGCCTATTGGTCTCCCCCCAAAATGACTGAACGCACACTTTACAAGCGTTGTTTTGCCATAAAGTTCTATAAAGTCCTAGTCTTCCCAAACAGAAACTAGCTCGAGTTTCACCTGGGCCACACTGGCTGCCCGGTGACCTGCAAAGAGAGCTGTGAGAGGGAAAGGAGGGAAACACACTCTTGTTATCTCAGCGTTGAGTCCGCGCTGATCTAGTTTCCATTCAAGCAAAGCAGTTCGCTATCGGCAGCTTCATTCTTCTTCAGGGACTAACCCCAGAGGAAGGAAAACGTCAAGTGTTCTTTGTGAAGTCGTAACGCTGATAAAAGCGTGTTTTGTGATCCTGGGTTGAGGCCAGCGGTGAAGTTCACCTCATTTCGAGGCTGGCCTTGTTGGGGAAGGTGACCGAGGTGACTGGCGCTCTGACAATGTGGAGGTTCTCTTGAGGGCTTGGAGGTGCAAAGACTGATCGCCAGGCTTCCCTCCCTCAGGGGACGTCTCCATCACCCGCAGCTGCTAGTTGGGGAAAAATGCTCAGCTCTCTGTACTATTTCAGACTAACCCTTCCCTCAAGGAGGGAAGTGTTTTAGGTAGGGGGTGTGGAGGATGAGAAAGTAAATGGAAATGAGGAAATGATCCAGAAGATTCTCCAGACACAATTGTCTTGCCCAAGATCGTAGTGCTAATATGTGAATATTTATGTTTCGAAAGCTCCCGGGGAGATTCTCCTGAAAGGCTAGTTTTAGAAGCAGGGATCTTGCCGTGTCTTCCTACTACAGTTCTTGTACCAAAGAAATGCTTATCAAGTCTCTCCTTGCTAAAAAAAAAAAAATAAACAAAACCTCCAGAGGATCCTAGCCCATTTGGCTCAGTGGATAGAGTGTCAGCCTGTGGACTGCAGGATCCTGGGTTCGATTCCAGTCAAGGGCACATGCCTGGGTTGTAGGCTCGATCCCCCCCCCTCCCAGTAGGGCAGTTATTGGAAACAGCGGATCAATGATTCTCATCATTGATGTTTCTGTCTTTCCTCCTTTCCTCTCTGAAATCAATCAATCAATCAATCAATCAATCAATAAATAAATAAAATAACTCCAGGGGACCACATTTTAGTTGATGCTCAAATAGTAGTTTCATCTTAGCATTTAGTTCTACTACATCTAACTGCCTTCCCTTGCAATTCCTAGCTAAGTCACTGAGTTAAATGCTATACTTACTCTGTATACCATGATTACATTTTTACCCAGACTAATGATTAGTCTGGGTAAAAAAGAAAAAGAAGAAGAAGAAGAAGGAGAAGCCCTACAGGGTTTGTCTCAGTGGGTAGAGGAGTGTCCGCCTGTGGACTG